TGTCATCGATGAACACTACTACGAACTGGTCCAAGTATGGTCGGAACACACTGTTCATAAGCTCCATGAACACTGCCGGGGCATTAGTCAATCCGAAAGGCATGACTGAGAACTCATAATGCCCATAGCGTGTTCTAAAAGCAGTCTTCGGAATGTCTTCTCTCTTAACGGAAATCTGATGGTATCCAGAACGCAGATCTAACGGAAATCTGATGGTATAATAACAGTTACCAGGCGAGTATTCAGATGGCTCCGTATGAGGCACTCTACGGCAGAAAGTGCCGAACCCCGATTTGTTGGACAAAGCTTAGCGAGCGTAAGCTCGAGGGACCAGATATTGTGCAGGAAACCGAGGAGAAGGTTAGTGTGATCAGAGACCGACTCCGCACTGCTTCGGACAGACAGAAATCTTATGCAGACTTGAAGAGACGAGACATAGAGTACAATGTTGGTGACATGGTATTCTTGAAGGTTTCACCTTAGAAGAAGGTCCTACGGTTCGGGAAGAAAGGGAAGCTTAGCCCTAGATTCATTGGACCCTACCGCATTCTGGAGCGAATAGGACCTGTTGCTTACAGGCTAGAGTTGCCACCAGAGCTGAACAGGATTCACGACGTCTTTCATGTCTCTATGCTACGAAGATACCGTTCAGATCCGACTCATGTGTTGCCGACCAATGCTGTAACCCTCGATGAGAGTTTGTCTTACGAAGAAGAGCCAGTTAAGATCTTGGCGCGCGAAACTAAAGTACTAAGAAATAAGACGGTACCTTTGGTAAAGGTACTATGGCGTAATCATGCGGTGGAAGAAGCAACCTGGGAGACCGATGAATCTATGCGAACTCAGTACCCTCATCTCTTCGTCAACCAATGACTCAGGTAATTTCGAGGACGAAATTCTTTTTAAGGGGGGGGGGGAGAAATGTAACGCCCCGAAACCTGGCCCAAAAGAATTAATTAAATTGTTAGAGTAATTGATTACGAATTGGGCCCAATAAGGGGTTAAAATTATAATTTGGATTTTAAGCCCAACTTTTATATCATCTCGTAGGAAATATTTTTGTGATCGCGTCGGTTCAGACGGCTCGCGAATCGGAGTTATGGAACTCAAGTTATGACCATTTAATCAGGTATTTTGGGTCCGAAGCCCAATCCTTTTTGGAATGGGACCATTAAATAAACCTAAACCACACAAACCTTATCTTATCTTCGTTCGTCCTTCTCCTTCTTCGTTCGTTTCTCTTCTTCTTCTTTTTCTTCTTCTTTCTTCTTCTTCTCCTTCTTCTTCTTCTTCGCTGATCGACCTCCGCCGCCCCTCGTCGCCGTCCAATTGGAGCCGCCGTCGCCTTCCCCAGCCTCGCCGCACCAGCCAATTGCGACCTTACCGTCGCCGGAAGCCAGTCGCTGCCCAGCGTCGCCAAGCCTCCAGCGCCGCCGCTGCTTCCTTCGCCAGTAGCCGCCGCTCAGCGTCGCCGAGCCTCCAGCGGCCGTCGCCGAGCTTCCAGCTGCTGCTTCGCCTTCGCCGGAATCGAGCGCCGCTGTCGCCCTTTGCACAGCGGCCATCCTCGCCGTCGAGTGCAATGCCGCTGTTTCGCCTTTGTCGGTCGTCCGCCGCCGTCGATTGCAGCGCCGCCAGTCGCTGCTCATCGTTGTCGAGTTGCCGCTTCGCCACTGTCGCCGGCGTCCGTCACCGTTGCCGCATCCGGCCGCTGCCCCGAGTTGATATCGCCGGCAGATTAACCTCCACGCCGGATTGATTGGTCGATTTCGTATTTTGACTCAATTTGACCCGTTCGTTTGATTTCGCCGATTTGTCTTCCGTTCGAGCTATCGATTCGATTTCGGCGTGATCCAGGTCCGTACTATGAAGTTAATAGCATTCAGAATAGATTTAATGGTTTGGATCGTTATATGTGTTTATGCTATAATTTGGCTAAATTGGTTAATTGAATTAAATTGATTGTTGAATTGAATTGTTGAGGATTGTTAATGGACTGAACAGGTTTGACTTTGACTTGGGTTAGGTCCTGTTTGACTTGGACTTTGACTGGGTATTCTGTCGACGTAGGTTTGACCGAATGGTTAAATCCAAGACTTTAATGAATTAGTTAAGTTAATTAATTAATTCTAATCGGTTATTAAGGTCAATTGGTTTATTGTGTTGAACATAGAAACTGGCCATTGCTCGGGCGGCTGCAGGGCCTGGTCAGTGAGGTTAAGACGTGCGCACGAGGGTCTGCGATCTTGGGTTTGAGGCCATCGCCCGAGGGATCCTACCTCCACCGAATTGAGGT